CCCCAAAACCCCAAAACCCCAAAACCCCATGCTATAGAATACAAAGAGAATAAAGTATAAATAAACCTTAAATCTTTAGATATTTTTAATTGAAGATGTTTGATAATTGAATAATTCCTGTAAAATAGATAATTATTATGGTTTAATGAGAGAAAATTAAAGCCGAGTGCTCTACTTATCAGCAGCACTATTTATATTACTTCTATCATTTTTATCATGCCAAACTATTTCATCTAAGATAATGAAGGATTTTGGCTATGATTCATTAGGATTTTACTCACTTGCGGTCACAAGTTTATTTTTTGGATTTTCAAGCTCTTTCACTTCAAGCATAATAGAGAGATTTGGTTCAAGATCAGCTGTGAAATTTGGATCAGTGACATTCTTCATGAATGTGGTGGCTTTCTTGCTCCCAACAATAAAGAATTGATACTCAGACTTAGACATCTTCATATTTTACGAAGAATTCATTTACACTGTAACTATTTTATGTGCTGCGATTCATGGATTCGGTAACTCCCTGTTATGGAATGGCGCTAGCATATATGTGACTAAATGCTCTAATAATTAAACAAAGGAAAGATTTTTTGCATTTTTATAAGGAATTCCTTAGACATCATAATTTTTTGGATGTCTTATTTCTGCTTTTCTGCTTGGTAATCTAGATATGCTAACCTTTTTCATTATTATGGCTGCTATCACAGGTCTTGGCTCATTTTTATTATTTCTTTTAAGTGAACCATTATCTGAGAATAAATGTTAGTATTAAGATTAATTGCTTTTGTTGAAAGTTTAAAATAAGGACATAACTGCTGATGAAATAAGCCTTGAAAATGCACAAAATTAATAAGACTCTAAAAATACTAATAATACTTCTTTGATAAATTCTCAGGGTATTAAACTAAATTTAGAAGATATCGATTAATAGCTTCTTGATAGTTAAATTAGTAATAATCAAATGAACATGAATAGTCCTTCATTACCTTTGTAAAAACCATAAATAAAAGATGAAATTCAGAGTTAAAATTAAGAATAAAATTAAAATGATAATCATTAAAAAGCACAAACTACTATAATTTAGTCTTTGACTCAGACTCTGAGACTATTTAAAACTAGAAAAATGCTTATACTATGCGCATATATGATACAAGCAAGATTCACTAACTCATTTTCCACTGGCATTTTCTTTCCAATGCTAAATAATACACTTAATAAAACCATGTCAAGCAAACAATCATATGAGTATTCCATGTTTGTCCTTTCAAATTTTGGCCTTGGGGAAATATTTGGAGCAATATCGATATCATTTGTGATTAAATACTACAAATCTAACAAATTTGGCGTTCTATACCACTTAATTCTATCTACAGCTGGCTATGGCTTTCTCATCGCTTACTCAGTTATCTATGAGTATAATGCTTTAGCTTATCTTTTTGCATTTATATTTGGCATGATGGATGGAGCCTCATGCACTCACATAGGTATTATATGTGGATTTGAATTTGGCTAATTAAGTGCCACTGCTATGGGTGTAAATTTCATGGTTAAACCTATATTCGGTTTTATTGTGTTTTTAGTTGAAGGTCAAATAAATGCTAACAGTAGCATTGAACTAACTATATTTTACTCAGTAACCTATGTCATCTGTTTGATCTTGCTTTTGATAATGCTGATATTTTTTCCTTTCAAACCTTATAACTGAGAGATTTAATTAGTATCTAATAAATATTCTTGCAGTGATATTTTTATGATGATTAAGTTTCAATATCAAATACAAATATTGTCTCTATTATTTTTCATAATTCTAGCTTGTGGGGTTTTGGGGTTTTGG